GTGCGATTGGCACAGGACAGAGCGGAGTTTAGGGCTGTTGTACATAGGGTCGCTATGAGTCGCAGGCGACTCGACAGCACATAACAACAACAACAACACTGGAGTGAGATAGTATCTCTTTGTGGTTTTTATTTGCATTTCTTTTACTGCCAGTGATTTTGAGCATTACTTCATGTGTCTGTTGGCCACCTGAATATCTTCCTCTGTGAAAAGTCTTTTGATGTCTTTTGCCCATTTTGTAATTGTGTTGTCAGTCTTTTTCTTGTGGAGGCCCTGTAGGTTTCTGTAAACTTTTTATATGGGACCCTTGTTTGAATTGGTATTTCCAAATTTTTTTTCCCCAGTCAGTATGTTCTTTTCACTCTGTTGGCAAATGTTTTTGATGTGCACAGGGATTTAATCTTTAGAAGGTCCCATTTATCAATTTTATCCTCTCCAGACTGAGCATTTCTGAGTATACTTGGCAGTCTCTTTATACCACAGACTAGGGCATCTAAGCTTGATCCCAATTTGTCTATAATAAACTTTATTGTTTGGGGCTTTACTCCCAGGTCTCTGATCCACCTTGAGTTGATTTTTGTGTATGGTGTGAGATGTGGATCCTGTGTCAGCTTTCTGCAGGTAGCAGTCCAGTTTTGCTAGAACCATTGTTGAAGAGGTGGTCATTTCCTCATTTGATGAGTTTTATTTCCTTGTCAAATATCAGTTGACCATAGATAGCTGGATCCATTTCTTTTTTTTTTTTTTTTTTTTACTCGCAAATTTTAAAAATGTCTTGTTCTTTTTTCCTTGGATGCGGCTTGGATCCATTTCTGGATTCTCGATTCTGTTCCATTGGACTATGTGCCTGTCACTGTACTAGTACCATGCTGTTTTGGTTACTACTGCTATAAGTAGGTTTTGAGGTCAGGGAGTGCTTTGCTCCCACTTTATTCTTGCTTTTCAGATGTGTTTTGCTTATCTGGGGTCTCTTGACAATTTCCCTTTTGTTCTCCTTGAAAAATGAATTTGATATCTGGATTGAGATTCAATTGAACAGGTAGATTGCTTTTGATAAGATTGTCATTTTCACAATATTGCGTCTTCCTATCCATTAACAGGGCATTTCCCCCCCCCCCATTTATTTCTATCTTTTATTGTGTCTCACAGAAATGTTCTGTAGTTTCTTTTATACAGGTCTTTTGTGTCTCTAGTTAGGTTCACTCCCAAGTATCTAAATTTGTATTTGGATATTGTAAATGGTATTGCTTTCTTAGTTTCCTTCTCTGAGTTTCCTTTGTAACTGTAGAGGAATCCCACTGATTTTTTGATGTTGTTGTGGTGATGGTTTTTGTTGTTGTTATGTCCTGTCGAGTCGCTTGTGACTCATAGCGACCCTAAACAGCCTACAACAGCCCTAAACCCTGCTCTGTCCTGTGCTAAACACACTGTCTCAGATACGGTCATCTCAATTACCCCAGTCACCGAATCAATCCACCTCATGGAGGGTCTTCCCCTACTGCGCTGTCCCTTCAACCTCCCAAGCATGATGACCCTCTCCAAGGACCTGTCCCTCCTTACAACATGTCCAAAGTATGTCAGACGAAGCCTCAGAATCCTTGCCTCCAAGGAGCAGCCCGGTTTAACCCTCTCCAGGACAAATCTGTTTGTTTTCTTGGCAGTCCATGGAACATTCAATACTCTTCTCCAGCACCACAGCTCAAAGGCATCAATTCTCCTTCTATCCTCCTTGGTCACTGTCCAACTCTCTGATGTATAACAAGTG